TGATGAACTGTTCTAGAAGATTCCGAATTCTTCTTCAAAAATCGTTGCATTCTTCCTCTCCATATAACAGTTTTATCCTGGTATTCTTGACTTAAGGTAACTTCATTTTCAATTTCAATCTCCTCCGAAGTTACTTTCGTTTCTATTTCTGAATCTAAACTTTTCAGTTCATTGATTTTTTCAATTAACTGTTCATATAAATCCTCGATTATCTCAATTTTCTCATTTAGCGGAATATTATTTGCTAAATTCGATTCGACTTTGGTTATCAGTTTCGTAGTTAATTGTCTTACAACCGATCGTTTCTTTTTCAAATTTTCAAGAACGCCCTCCATTTTCGAAATATTCAGTCTGTCGATTTTCTGGTTCGTAATAATCCCGGTTTGCAGGCACCATAAACAAAATATGTGTAAATCTCTAATAAATCAGACTGGATCGCAGTTAAAGTAATAAACAGAGGAGCGTTCTTCCACACAACATTTATTCACGAACACCAAAGACGAACTGATACATATACATAATTGACATCACAGTTTCTTTTTACAAACAAACACTACCGCCATCTATTGGCGATCTATGGATACACAATCCTAAACTTAACACTAGCTGAAGGATCTCCTTATCTTCGACTCCGTTTAAGCTATCCCAGCATTTCAAATCTCTGTCGATTCGACATTAAATGGCGCCAAAGTAGATTTTAGCAAAGAAACAGATTCAATTTTATAGTATATATATATATATCTAAAAAAACGATAATATATATTTCGTCACAATATATTTATTTTTTATTGAACAAAATTGATATGCTGCTTTATGTATCCTAATTATTCAAAAAGCATCTTTAAAACACCGCTTTTAATTTACCTTGAGTCCTATTTACATCTTTTATTAGGGCTTTTACATCATAGTTTTCCAATATTTGGGGGGTCATAGTTTGGAGATTTCAAAGTACATTTCGTGATTTTAAATTTCCATAAAAGAGTTCCTCAGAGATATATTGTTTTACAGCGATGCTTATCGGTTTTTGCAACAATGTTTGGCAAAATATCAGCAAGCATAAATATCTTCCCGTTTTAAACACGCAAAAGTGTTTTCTGTATGATATTACAACCATCTGTGTGCAGAATATGGTAATGAATGACATGAAATTTATATATAAATTATATGTATTATTGTACGTATAATTTCCCCCCGCATTATCTAAACACTCTATCAATCGAGGTTCAAACAATCTTAATTCTGTTATGTTTATAAAAAAAAAATCGCAACCCCAGAAATAATCGCCAGACTATTCAGTATTTTGAGAACTGGCGAAAAATATTTGTTGGATTATTTTTATGATTCCTAGGTACTTTTTCTCTCTTAATAAATAATATTAATAAAAATAATTGTTTTATAAACAACGAGAATTTCATGAGAAAACTAACATTCGATATTTACCGATGGATAGTTATCAACGAAATGGTGATTGAACATAAAGCATAAAGCATGTACTGAAACAGATATGTGATACGTGCACACATATGTTAGCTATTATCACACGTATACGCAAAAATAAAACCAAAACACGGTAGTTCTATAGTATGTTGAAAGAGGGGGTGCAGAGAATCAGGAAGTACTTAAGTTCTATATGCTATTGTAATAGTTCCGTCTGAGGCTCGATTCATAGCAACGTTTTACATTTTCTTGATTTTTCATATGTATCTGTCATCTAAGACAATTCTTTTGTAACCCTACATATTTGAATAAGATAATATTAATAATGGAAGTTAAAAATATCATTTACGTGAAGTATTTTCCTACTATTTTTAGTAACAAATATTATTAGTAAAATTGTCTTATACTGTTCTTATTTTTATTTCTAGTTATACATACTACTACTGTTATGTTCCATTTTTGTGTAAATTCGCAAAACATTTTATTCAGCAAGTGCCAACTGAATCTTACAGCTGTATTTTTTGCATTAGCTAGAATAACATGTGGAAATTGTTGAAAGTCGTAACTAATCTCGAAACCAAAATAATTACTATTAATCAAACTCGCTTTTCAATCCATTTTAAGTAATTTTGCGTTGTATTTTCTTTACAACATGTAATTCTTTTTATTTCAAGAATAAGAATCTTAATCTTATGTATCGGGTTAGTCCATAAGTTCGCGCGCATTAAGAGTATGCATGGAATTCACTATGACGCATTTACTAAAACAATGCGATTTTGAATCTCTTGAAACTTGTCACCATTTGACTCACATATTATTCAGTTCATCACCAACTTTCGTAAATATCGAACACATTTTAGTACCCTTAGAAGATGAATATAGATAATCAGTACAAACGTGCTGAGCTACATTTTTTTATTTTCGTGTGGTGAATCTGCCAGGTTTGCAGTGATAAAAACTAATAGTGTACAGTGGTGGCCAAAATTGTGGGGCACTTTTGGAAATTTTTATGTTTTTGAACTTTGTATGCTTATGGAAAATGTTACGTTTCGCAAAATGCAAACTTGTATATATCATTTTAAAGAGAATTTATTACTGAATTCAATACAAAACACAAAATTCAATTATTTGCAATACAAAAAAGTTATATGTACTTTAATATAAATAAAAAACACAGTTATGAAGTGGTTTGTAATGTCTAGCTTTCCTGGCCAATCACTGTTCTTGTTCTGAGAACCAATCAAATGTTAGTAACTGCCAGTAGAAGCTGACATCATGTTTACACTTGAAACAATTCATTAGTTTGCTTTGTTCTGTAGAAGGAGGACCTGTTTCTTATAACACTGCAATTACAAGTAGGAAGTTTTGTAAGATTTTTAATATTTAGTCAAGAAGTAATGACATCAAATAAAAGAGTAGATTGGACACCTGGAAAGAGATGTAATATTATTGTGTTACGAGAAAGTGGTCTTTCCTATGCTGAAATTGCAAGACAGGTGGGTGGTTCAGTGACTACATCTGAAGTCCGAAAGTTTTGTTTACGATAACAGGAGACACATTCAATAAAAAACAAAGAAGGAAAAGGCCGGAAAAGGTGCACCACATTTATTGAGGACAGAAGAATAAAACTACTATATCTCCAAGATAGAAAAATGTCATCAGCGGCCATCAGAAATGATCTGAATGATGCTGGTGTTTCTGTCAGTTCAAGAACAATCAGGAGAAGATTAACAGATGTTGGACTGGGAGGTAGAATTCCACGAAAAAAGCCTTATCTTAATTTTCAGCAACGAAAACAAAGACTACAGTGGGCAAAGGAACACATTGGACAGATGATCAGTGGTCACAAGTTATATGGAGTGATGAAACTAAGATATCATTATTCGGTAGTGATGGGCGAAAATATGTAAGACGTAGAATAGAAGAAGAGCTACATCCTGACTGCATTCAAGCAACTGTGAAGAACCCAGTTAGTGTTATGATTTGGTCATGCATGTCAGCAGATGGTATTGGTCGCCTTCATGTCATCGATGGGACACTGAATGCCAGAAAACACATTGACACTATTCTAGAACCAAAACTTCTACCTTCCATCAGAGATCTCTTTCCTAACAATGCTTCGTTTTTTTTTCCAGCAGGATTCTGCTCCTTGCCACACGGCCAAAATATCGAAAGAGTGGTTTCGTACAAAGAGCATTAAATTGTTGTCGTGGCCAGGAAACAGTCCTGACCTTAATCCTATCGAAAATTTGTGGCACCGTTTGTAAACTCTTGTCCGAATGAGGGGCCCATCAAATAAAAGGGAACTAATTGAGGATATAATTGTTTCCTGGCATCATGTAATAACGAAAGAAGAGCTTAAAACTCTTGTCAGCTCAATGAAACGTCGATGTGAAGCTGTAATCAAAAACAAAGATTACCCTACTAAGTACTGACAACACACTGAAATCATCACTATCTAAGGTATATCGATAACTATTATCGTTTAACTTTTTTTTATATTGCAAATAATTGAATTTTGTGTTTTGTATTAAATTCAGTAATAAATTCTCTTTAAAATGATATATACAAGTTTGCATTTTGTGAAACGTAACGTTTTCTATAAGCATACAAAGTTCAAAAACATAAAAATTTCCAAAAGTCTCCACAATTTTGGCCACCACTGTACATGGTGCTATTAATTATTAGTGTAAGGAATGCCCAGAAATGGTTTAAAAAATTTAAAGTTGGAAAAAACAGCATTGATGATCAACCCCGTTCAGGACGTTTTGAACTGTTAGAACCAAATCAAACGATTAATTCAGAAGTTTACAGTGAACAACTTTGTCGTCTAAACTCAGAATTGATCAAAAAACGCCCACAATTGGTGAATATCAAGAAAGTGTTGTTTCATCATGGACCGCTAGACCTCATACGGCTCGAACAACGCTGCAAAAAATTAGTGAATTTAATTGGGAGCTTTTGCCACATCCTGCTTACTCCCCAGATATTGCCTCAAGTGATTTTCACTTACTTCGTGCCGTACAAATGTTTTTTACAGGAAAAAAAAATTAAATTCTAAACAGAATAGACACAATGAATTTTCAAGTTTCTTTGCATCAAATACACTTTCTACACAATGGCATAAAAATGCTGCCTGTAAGATGGCGAGACATTGTAGATAATGGAGGAAAATATATAATTAATTAAAATGTTTAATTGTGTTTTTTATATTATTTAAAAATTTACCAAAAAATGCGCACGAATTTATGCACTGACCCAATATTATTAAGAGTTCCATGATTATTTGTTACTCAGTTATTATTATTATTTTATTATTATTTACTAATTATTTATTCATTACTACAGTTTACTTCTTTTGTAAAATATCAGAGTATTATTTGGAAATACGTAATATGTAAAATACGTAAAATATACTGTATATAATGTATTGGAAATACGTAAAATGTAGTGCTCACAAACCAGTTTTATTTCTAATCTCCTAATAATTTTTAAGGTGTGTTTTAACTTATTGTTTACTTTTACAACCACTATTTCATGAAATATATTTAATTTCATTTCAGAATTTTATGACGGAGTCACCGAAGTATGAACCTTCCCCTGCGGTTAGTGATGTTATTCCTCCTAACAAATCGTCAGAAAGTGAAAACAAGTTGAATATCGTAAGTACAACTTTCTCACATATAATTGTTTGTAGGTTAGCAGAAGTGTGTATCATTATTTCCAAAAAACTGTGGTTTTTAACGTATGAAAACATCAAAATCAGCAGAGACTTCTCAGACTTCAGCTATCAGTCCTTTTCTGTTCAGTGCTTTCCACTAAAAGCTTATTTTTTTTATTTTAAAGTCACTATTTTAGTATAGTATACTAAATTTAAGCAAATACTGATATGTCATATAAAATGCTGTTATTCACTTACATTCCGTTCATTTGCTACTGGCAAACACTTCAGATAAATTTGATAACTGTTTTTAGCTGGATATCAAGAAACTTCATACTTTCACTCTGTCCTTTTCACTTTGCCACTTGTTAATGTTCACTTTGCAAGATAAAACTTTTCATATTTGTAAGATTTTACTCAAAAAAAAATCTAATGTAGACACCACATGACTTCCTTGTATGGCCTATTAAATTATACACATTTTTTGCTGCACTTCATTTAAACTTATTTCCTCAAATTTCATTACAGATATATTTCTCATACAATTAATTCAGTTCACGGCGAAACGAAAGTACGTAAAATCTCAAAACATCTTCATTAAAAATTATAAAATACAGAAAAGCATAAAACACCAAATGGAGTTAAAACAGTTCAAAAACAATCTTTGCTATTAAAATTAGAGTTTCTACGCGAAAACAAGGAATTCGGCCAGCGGGCGAGAAGACAGGTTTTTATCTACACGAAACTGAAAATAAAGACATTAAAGATGCCTAACCTGACTTAATTCACTATTCTAATGAGGTTCAGATATAAATAAATGGTGGTTTGTTAGGCTTAACTCGCCAATTAAACTTTTAAAATATTTTATAATTCTACAATTATTACATGCAGATTAACTAAAAGCATAAGATCCTTAACCGGAACATAAAAACTACGTGATTCAATCATTTTTAAAGCAATAAATGCCCAATTTACCAGCATATAAGAATTAAAAATAAATAAATAAATAAATAAATAAAAACTAAGCTTACCGAGCCACGTGATGGGAATATATATATATATATGCTTATATATGACTGGTGCAGCCGATTGCAACGAAAACGTAAGGTGCACAACTACATGTTATAGCAGTCCCATATACAAAATTTTAACGTTCTGAGGCTATTTGTTCTTCAGTTATGCAAGATACATACATACATACCTACAGACGTCAAGAAAAAGTCTCTTCTGAATTCATTTTACAATCCTTTTTGACAAAAAAAAGTCCTTTGTTCAGTCCTTACGTATAGATATTACGCAAAAATAGCGTTCAAATGGTTTCGAGAGCAGTTGAAATGAATATTTTCTTTGAAATATGATACCAGAAATTTTTTGTGATTACAATACTTCCCTTACTTCTTACAAGGAAGTATAAAGGCAGATTTAAAATCTATGGAAATTCAAAATTCTTAACAAACAAACAAAATCCCTTATATTTATGTAGTAGATATGTCGTATGTGGCTTTAGAGATAGATATAAGTTACGAACGCTGATAAAAATTATCAGTGGAATGGAGAAGAAAATAGATATATTTTATTTTGTAGCAGTTAAATCTCTTATCAAAAACAAAATAGAAATAAAAAATATGAAGAAATGTGTTTATTATTAGCCAAAAGGGTTATTGATCTCGAAACACAATTTTGCGTTGATTCATTTTAAACTGCAAATGCGCGTCATCCTCTGTAAATACGCTGTTTCACTTTGCATTCGAATCTGTTGCCATTCGGCAGACTGTAAGATAATAGTCTTTGCGATTAAACCTGTCTTTTATTGATTAAAACGCGAAGCTGTTTAAAAGCAAAGGATGCAGTTCTTAAGAATATTATTATTATTATTATTTTACTTTTAATCGTATTGACTTAAATGAAAGTGCACTTAACTCACGATATACCTAACTAAAAACATTAAATGTGTTTATAGAATTGCGTTATGTGTTTTTTCACTTTTTAGATGTACAGAAAATATATAACTGTTTTGACTATGCACAAGTTGCATGAAAAAAATATTATAACCCGTGGGTAATAGCATAACGTAATGGTTCAAATATTTTGCAAAAACTTCTGCTCATTTCTGGCGTCAAAAAATTATTTATTTTTTTAGTGTCTAAAAGTTTATTTAATGAAGAAAAACGCCCCTTTGGGCGTAATACAAAATCTAAAAGCTTGATTAATTATTTAAATTAGTAAATTAGTCTAAATTAAATTACAAAAATATTGATTTAAATTGTAAAAAAGTATATAAAAACCTCTAAGTCTGAAAACTACAATGAGCAATTCTCGGAACTGCATATATGGTTCTAAATTTTCGCAACACGTGCACTATTCACTTAGCCAAAGAAAAACAAGGACAGTAAGCCCTTTTTCTAAACCTTTAAAGAGCATTTTTTATTAACGTTTCATTAATGTAGATGGACGATAAAAGCTCGATTAAATGTAACAGATTTCAGCGCGAAAAAAGAGTTCTTCCAAAAACAAAAAATGTACCACGTTATGAAAGATAATTAATTATTCTTTGACCATCAAAAAGTCAATGAAGAGGTTAATGAAGCTATCACATTCTAATTTCCGCTTCTTTTTAATATGAAAATTATCTTTTATTTCATTATTATAATTGTTATAGCGCGATAAAAGAGTGCCTGATTTTAACGTTGTTTTCGAAATAGCCATTTTTTTAAAAGCCAAGTATATTAACTTCCCTTTTGTCACATAAATATTTTTTTTAATTTTAGATTTCTTTTCGTGTAATGACATTAGTGAGGCTTAATAAAGCTTCTAACGCAGATTAAAAGCTTCATTTTTTTCGCTCAGTAATTTGTGTGTCAATAGTCTTCTTTTATAAGACTCTTAAAATTTCATTATTTTGATTGAAACCTTATGAAAGGAAGGAGATAGCTTGATAAAAAGCATTTATGAAAAACAATTCTGCTTGAAGTCTCTAATAAACTCAAGAAAAATGTAGTGCTTAGCCTGAGAAAAAAGCGTAAGATTAGAAATTTTTTTAACCATACACCCCGAAGCTGTGCTGCTTATAATTCATTAAAGATGTTTACAGTTTACATTCTTGAATACACCTGCCTGTAAAGCAGATATTTGAAGATTGAGCGTTAAAAAAGTTGTAGTTATTTTTTTAATGTTGATGTACTCTTTTAAATGTGGATTTTTTTTTTTTTTTTTATTATTTGTTTGAACTGTAACTGGATTTTTCCATTTCAAATCGGATGTTTCAAGTTCTTTCTGTCTTTCCTGGAGAAATAAAAATAGTAGTTTCAATAAAATGTAATACAAATTTGCTCACAATTTGTTTCAATTAAGTTTTATATGCTAACTCATTAATTTTAATAAAAGGGAGCAGGGATTATTGAATTCAAACGCGTAACTGATTCCCAAAAATATAAATTTTGTACTCTTTTTATGAAATGTCATTTTAAATATTTTTTATACTTCCACATCGCATGAATTTAATTACTTTTACGTTAGAAATGCAATATATAGTGGTTAGGAGAGCCGAGTGCGATACCACAGTGCCCGGGTTCAAATCCGGGAGAAGGCTTGGTTGTATTTGTCCCTCCCCTCATAGGAGGCAAAGGTGGTTCACCTATTAGGTGCCTCCATAATAAAATGACCACTCCTTCTGGCCTTAGTAATAGCCAACGTCTGTGGTAGTCTTTTTTACAATAATGGATTAGTTCAAAACTCGTTTATATTCTGGACTAAATCAATTGGTACTTTTCCGTTTTGCGGCCGCCAACGATAAAGTCGCCAATAATGGTAAAACTTTCGCCATACGGAATATTTTCGCTGGTAACCTTATCAGATTGATTGTTTCTTTCAATAGTGGCATACAGTTACATAGAATTATGAACAGATAGTTCACTTTTATGCCTTAAGGCCATTCGCGGTAGTTAAGTCAATTAGGATGCAATCACACCGCTCACCCGATGGCGAAAATATAGAAAAGGCAAAGTCGGTTAAATTTATTCATTCTTAATGAGAATGCACTAGTGAAGTAAAGCACTGCGGTTTTACATAATTTCTTAATAAGCTATTGGTACGAATTGAAATAATTCGTGCATTTAAACTTGTATTCCAAATTAAGAATTAACTTGAAATTAATGTAGATAATTACCGAGCGAATTAGATTTTTGTCGCGTAGTTTACGTGAGCTAAGATCACTTGGGGTGACGTGATATAAACCGGCGAACCAGGATGTTGAGCCGTAAAAGCGTAGTAAATTCTTAAATTAATGTCTTTTTACAAATTTATTGTCTTTATTTATTGGCTTTTTACAAAATTTTAAACGATATTAAAATGTTTATGCCTTCAAAATAAAACATTCTGAAAACTAACATTTGTTATCTGTATACTGTATGTTGTCGCCAATAAAGTCTGCTTGGCGAGATTTGCGCCGGCGAAACGAAAAAGTAATTTATATAATATGAAGTCACGAACCTGTATTTTCTTCTTCTTCTTCTTTTTTTTTTTTTTTTTTTTTTTTTCTCCCCTTAATGTAATCTGGCAGTATTTTATATTTTACTGAAAGAAAAAGATGGATTTTCTGTGAGATGACTAGAATATATTTTAGTGCATAAATCTATCTATAGTAATATAAAAGTGTATAAAACTTACAGGTGGACGTTTTTTCGAAACCAAGCTCATACTAAAATTTAAAGGCATTTTTTTTAACGCATCGAATTTACACCATTTCTCTGGCATGGAAGATGACAAAATACACGCCATGTTCACAAAAGTCTTTGTGGGCTTTAATTTCGCAGCTGTTGGTCTCAGACATATACTTCATAAAAAATGTTTCAAGTGATGAAATATTCATGTTTCCATATTTTTAAATTTAAAAAAATTGATTTTATACAAAACACGAAATTTAATTTCTTTGCCTCGCAGTCTTTATACTTAGAAGACTCCCAAGCTCTGCGCAACCAGATTTTGCGCCTGGAATACATAAAA